AAAATAAAGTGTACACCCACATATGCATTTTAGAAAGCTGATTTCAAATCCACATTCCAAATTGGGAGCAATTTTGGGAACAAAGTTAGAGGGGCGGTTCCTCCATATGATGTGAGATCTGTCGAGCTAGCGTCGAGCCCTATAGATCTCCTTCACTGAGGGTTCCCTCCCACTGAAGGATGTCAGCAGGGTTAGCGACGAGGCTCTGCCTCCGCCCACAAGGGGCGGGGCTTGAGCAGAAATTCTTAACTCTTGTCCCCGCGGACCTAGAAAGTTCAAACCTGGTAGGCACAGGTGACAGGATGGGAACACTCATGGTTGGTGGCAGGACCAGACTTCGCCCACAAGAGCGGGGTTTGAGCAGAAATTCATAGCTTCTGTCCCTGTGGACCTAGAAAGTTCAAACTTGGTAGGAGCACAGGTGACAGAATGGGAACACTTATGGCAGGACCAGACTCCGCCCACAGGAGGCGGGGTTTGAGCGGAAACTCATAAATCCGACAAAGGTCTATAATGAAAATTAGCTCATGTGGCCCCGTCCCTCATGGCAGGAGCCCCTAGTGCACACGATAGCGTGCGTTGCCGCCTGGTTAAGCACTACGCGATTAAAAACGCAATGACAGCGTATCTCCTTCCGAACACTCCGGTAAATCATATACGTCATGTTTTTATAGGTCATGTACGGCAGTAGAGGTCTTACTGATCAGTGATCATCAAAAACACATGTCTTAAAGTGGTAGTCTGATTCAATTTATAACATCCCACAGGGATTAGCTCAACCCAACTAATCGCCTCATCTCTAGATGACTGTTCGTTTGTCTTCAATGGCCCGCTACAATAAACTATCGGATCATTATTCCTTAATTCGAAACCGAAGACCAATCAAATAGTGAACTGCAAAGAACAGCAAAGCAATAATAAAAAGAATGGTCGACGCAAAACATAATGTGAACAGAGATCTAAAACAGAAACGTACTGATTGGCTCCAAGTATCACAGAATACTTCAAGATTTTCTCTCGCGATCCGACTGGAGGGATGTTGACAAAGGGTCCGGCCAGACATCAGTGTCTACAATAAAATACCTTAAACAGAGGAACAGTCAAAGATCAATGCACGGTTAGATAATGCAATCCTATGAGAAAAATCTTCATAGAAGAGCAGAATAAAACGCGAACAACTAGCGTTATATGATGCTTGAAGTCACGAGATCACAGAAGAAGACATAGTAATAGCAGTCACTTGCTTATGAACGATGGAGTCATATACAACTTCCCACTCCCACCAATTCGCTGTGTCATGCATGCACAAAGACGCTTATTCTGCCTGATGAAATAATGAGGCGAAATAGGAGAAAATTAAAATGTGACTCAAATCCAGAACATCAAAAAAGATATCATCATAGAATAGAAAATTAACCAGGGGGGCCAACGCTCTCATGTTTCGTTCACAGTGTCCAGTGTTTACATGGAGTGCGTCCGTTAGCGATATATGATGAAGTAGACGACACACCTCAAAAACTATCGATAAGACGACGAAGGCAAAAACGCTTGCGATAACCTAGCAAGTGATTCAAGAGGAACAAAAAATAGAAGATGACAAACTTCTTGCATGTGTTCAGCGTGCTCCTTAAATTTCTCCATGTATCTTTCAACTCCATCAATATCTCCAGAAACTGCGCAAGCTTTTATTGACGAGAGCAGCACTTGATCCTCGTTAGCTCGCAGGACTTCAGAAATCTGAGTTGAAAAATATAAACAGAAAAAAAACTGAAGTTATTCGAGCTAGAAATTCAACTCATGATATACATATACATATTATACATTTATACATTATATCGCCAATTTCTCACATGTTCCATCGCGACAATCTGCAACTGTTTGCCAAGGTCTTTCAACCTTCTGTTTAATCGCTCGACAGTTACTTCAATGCCATCAGAGCGCAGCTGTTCGGAGGAATCGTCCTGCTATTGATTCATTTTTCCATATAGTACTCAAAGATAAGATGAATTAGAAAACCATTTACTTCAGGTTGGATAAGATTCGTCATTTCAAAGCGGCATTCCTCTAGGAAGTCCAGGATTTGTTCCCGATGATGGTGTGGGGTGTAGGCTGAATCAGTGAAGTCCTAAAAAATATTATCGAGTTTCATTACTCTTCAGTCGGCCATGTTACAGTGCTACTTTCTAATTTAGAAAGTAGCACAATTTGTTACATCTTTTCTGCAGTAATGAATGAATACATAATTGCTTTGTCTGTAGGAGCAGACTAGCGTTAACGTTGATCAGAAAAAAAAAACCTGAGTCATTTCACAAAGTGCGTCGAGCGCTCCTATGAGCCGTTCTCTCACTCCTACGCCAACTCTAGACGTCATCCGAACCATCTCTAACATCTCCTAGAAGCAAGTTCATGCCAATTAATCTGAAACTTGATGTCGAGCGAGAACCAAACGCGTACGGCACATGTTTGGAATGAAAACATTGATAGAGATTTCTTGAAACCTTTCTACGGCTTTCAAAACAGGACGACTATGCCATACACTATGTTGGAAAAGAAAACGAATTAGATAAAACCGTTGACAGTAGAAAAAGAAGTTACATCTTAAAGAAGGTCTCTGTGGTTCAGACAAGCTGCATAAAAACGCTTATCATCACCCCAGTATAACAAACGTCATTAAATAAGATATTACCGTGAGTTGTTTGATGGCAGCATTAGCGGTGAGTTGAATCCCGATATCCAAAGGTTCTTCACTGGATGTTTGGACAAATCGTACTGGATCTACGCTGATGACTCCATCACAAGCACAAATAGCAATTAGTTGAAGAGCAATTCGGATCTGAAGCAATTCTATGGCTTCGAACCAGTAATAGAACCCGTTACTTATGAATGACAAAACCTCATAATTTCAGGTTATTGTTACCTGATCAAATACTCCATCTCTACAATGTAGAGCACTTTCGGATTCCGGGTGGCGTAATAATGTTTTTGATGATGTTAGCAAAAGCATAGTGTGTCTTTCAAGAGCAGCCCTTGCCACCCCCATCTGAGCTCTACGTTTCTCACTTTTCAAATCATGTTGCCTTAATGATGCAAAGTCAAGGTACGTCAAAGTACGTAGTTCAAACATAGAATAATTAGCAAATTAACTTATGGAGAGTAGAATGAGAATAAATAAGTAACAACTGATCATAAACTTTTGAAAAACCCACCTATCACCGGACCTATGGGCGAGGTCCACCATTTCACCACCAAATTCAGCGAAGATTTTAACAAATTCAGTGAACGAACGGCACACCTCGAGTCGAGAGAGTGAGTACGCTACCTTAAAAAATATTTGTGCTCGAGAAAAGGACATGTGTCATAAGGCCAAATCGAGGTGACAAGCACAAGTAAAGAAAGTATAGGATGTTTTAATTTGCATGGCACCTCATCGACATAAGAAAATGGGTAAACAGTTTCAATAATACCAAAATAAAACTGTCACGATAGAAGTGCCAAGGGTATTGCAGCAGCAAAAAGCAACTAGAGTAGCTGGTGATATCGACAGGGTGGCTGAAATTATAGGACTCTAGGCGCTTACCGGCACTTTGCCAATGGGTATTTTCAAAATCTTTCGGGACTTTTTGAAAGCACAGGAGCTGTGCAAGGATCTATACGACCACTTGATCGACCGTCTGCCTACTCATCGCTATGGAAGTTTCTGCACACCGACCCATCATCGAGAAGTTGCTCAGAGAACGTTTCAGAAGTTGTGGTATCGCAAAACGCTCGGCATTCCATCTCCAACCGTTCGAAATGTCTCTGCTGTTCTTAGGGCTCAAGCACAAGCCTCTGAGATTCCAAAAAATAGACGACCGAGAACAATGAACACACCGAGGATTCGTGCCATCATTAGGAAGAGGATCACCCAACAAAGTCAGCTAATAAAATGCAAAAAAAAAACTTCTTCGAAAGCCCAGGACGCGCCGCATCATCAACGTGATCTAGAGTGATGAGAAAGTTTCCAAAGTAGAGCGTTTTCAAACCGTCAAAACCAGAGATGGTATTGCCAAAAGCAGACGACGTGTCCCCAAAACGTCGAAAATCTACCCTCCTTTCTCGCCAGACCTCAATATAATGGACTTGTGGGAGCTTGTGTGGGAGCCTTTGAAGGGTGAGATCGCAGGACGTTCCAACCGCTCATTGGACGCCCCTTTCTGGACTTGTTGTTTAGAACAATATCAACGTAGACAGCCTGCGGCGCATCATTGGTCCAGTTATTGGACGTCTAGACGATTGTGTAAGAGCAAAAGGACCGAAATTCGAACGACGCCTGTCCGTAGTGATCATGTAGCTCTACTCTAATCCTCAATGTAGTAGGTTGATCTACATGTCCTATATCTTCGAAGACACGCTTACAAATGTGTCGTCTTATACTTGTCAGCTACCTGTACATGAAATGCTCTAGGTCCCGCATAAATCTTAGCTATCTCTTCCCCAGAATTCCTGAAATCCCAATAGTGAGTAGGCTCACATGTTTGAAGAAGCCTGATAAATTAAATGATTTTCGCTAAGGAGGAGATATTTGGCACAAATAATAACACTGAAATTGTACACTCCATGAACCAAAAAAACCTTGTGAAGAGCTGAATATTACTTACCTTGTCTTCGGCTCGCAAAATATGCTTTACGAGCACCCTATCGGCTAGGAGTAGTACTCTTGTAACGCTACTAAGAAGTTGTCTGCTAGCTCGCACGAGTACACTTTTGTCCAAAAGTGGTGCATCGGGAATGTCCGACGAACAGCAGGAAAGGTTGGCTATTGATGCTCCTGAAACATAAGCGACATCAAGAAAAGTAACCGTCGTCTGATACATAGCATGACAACGACAACAGTGCACGTTTATTCCTCTCACTGTGGAGCCCGTAAATCAACAACCATCTGAAGCACGGTCATTTCGAACGCTCTTCATATTCTATTACATAGAAGCTGACATCCTCTGAAACAAGCTTCACCATCGGGTCTCCCAAAGAAGTGAAACCAACTCGTAATGGTGGAGTCAATTGACCTGATAATTAATAGGTTGATGCATAATTATTGCGGATTTTTTCGCGACTTCTTTTCTCTCGATTCAATTTCAATACTGAATTTGGGATATAATAGAAACATTCTCCTCATTTCCTTTAACAGAAATATATTTAGAAAGTCATCTTCATATAAGCCACATTATGCTCTGCTACTTCGAGAAAGGTTGGAAGGTGACACAAAGATAAAGTGATCTCAAGAAACTTCTCGGCAATGGAACAGCCAGCCAAAGCCGAATAAGGGATGGAATCTGTTTCTACAGTCGCCCTATTCACTAACAGAAATTCCTGTGGATTATCACGTCAATCGCCCGTTGAAAAATTAGCTAACGAACAGAACTTTCGATGAAATGGACACCTTGACGGCTGACGTCAAGGCGCGGATCGCCTCCAAGGATCAAAACTTCTTCGCCTGTGGAATACGACTGCCTAGCAAATGAGAAGCAGTGCTTGACGTAGGTGGTGGGTACTCTCCAAAGAAATTGTTTTGACATGGCTATACTAAATATTTACATCGTTTCTCCAAGTAAAATTTGCTTAAAAATCCGCAATAATTATGCATCAACCTAATATGTATAACCCATCAACTGAAAAGCACGATGTTAAAAAACCTATAATATGAGGGTTTGTAAGACTCAACATTTATCGAAAATGAATCTGCGAAAGCTGCTTACAAATTGTTTTCATTCGAGTCACAACAAGATCGGCTCTTCTGAAAGGTGACAATTCACTATTTATTGAACAGTACTGGTTACATGCTACTACTACTATTAGCAGTTGTGCGATATAGGTTCATAACAGTAGAACCCCTTTGTTATTATGATGTTCCGAACAGGTCTCGAACAGAACCTTCTGTGGTTCCACAAGCACTGATGCCGCTTCTGGATGAAATAGATGCAAAATTTGGGCAGAGGTGGCGTATTAATAGATGGATTCACCCACACAGCATCTGCATGGTCCAGAGATCGATTTCTGAACCGATATTCGCCGCGGCTAATTAGGTTTTCTTTTCCTCCTTGGGGGTCGATTAATGGGTACCAGACCTGTCTGAGAAGATAAAAGCACTGACCTGTGTATAGCCTAGCCACCACAAGTCAATGTTCTGGCAAAAAAAAAACGCTATTACGATTCAGAATGAGAGTGGAAGGCGGGGTGATGGCATCCAAAAAAGGATTTATTAACGACAAAATTCCATTCTCTAATAAAATTAAGGGATCATTCATAAGACACTTTTGGCATGATTAAGGTTACCGCTTGATCAGGAGGCTGAACTAATGAGTCTCTCAAATGTACTAATCACAATGTTGAACAAGAAAAAATAAATACTAATATGCCAAGTAGTCAGTATCCCATTTTAACGAATACGGGTACGTGAGTCACTTTTACCATTTCTCTACAGCGCTAAGTGAGCGAGACATACAAAAAACATGGTTGAAGAGGAAATAGATGAAATACGGTCAAAAACACAAACCTGCAAGCCTAGCTTCATGGCATGCATCGTACATCTCTGGTTGAATATCTGGGTTTTCGTCGGCAATCGTTTCCCCTACTGCAACAAATCGCTCGATAGCTGCTTCAACTGCGCTGCCTACCTTCAAAAGATTAGAAACATGGATTGTCGTCTACATCAAAAGAAAACAAACCACATTTACTGGTTCTGACCTTTAAAGCGGCTCGGATCGCTCTTTCCGACTTCGGCTTGCCATTCAGAAGGTATGATTCTTTGAAGTTGACGAGTGTGGTTATCTAAAACATTTCCTCGAAAGTTGACCGGTTTTTTTATAGATAGCCTAGATCACCGTCATGGAAACACGAAGAGTCGCGACTGATGGGTCTATTCTTTTGGTCCTGATGCTTTATTTTGCGTATCATTACTAAGGTATGGATGCTACTAATCACATAAATTCATTACTGAAATGGAAAGACAATACAAGTCGAAGAGGACGCAAAATGAAAACGAGTGACCCTTCCAATTGCCCGAATAACTTCGTGGATCAGCTTAGCCTGTAAGTGCAACGAAACCACTGCACCTCTAGGCACCAGTGCTACTCATATCTACTCACGATAGCAGTCTGCAATCGCAGCATTTGCCTAAACCACCACCTCGCGTTCTTGCCCAAGGCCTTTCTTCGGAATGTCGCAAATGTTTTGGGTGGCTGAAGAAGTCGTTATAAGATGCTTATGATGGGTTAGCCCCTTGTATCTGATGTCGGTACGCAATCGTAGGCTACTATCGTCAAAGGGCGCATCTCTGAAAAAGTGCGTTTTTGCGCATAAAGGTACGCTCTTACGCATATATCTGAGTGAGAACGCACTGGTCTGCGTGAAAACGCAGTTACTACGAATGTGTCCACTACAAATAAATGCGACTCTATAAAACGCCGAAGAAAGATGTCGGGTTACAGAAAAACTACTAGTACTGACAAGTAGTCCCGTCAACATGCCCTCACCGTCTGAAAAAACTTTGGAATAACTTTTCTCTGACCTGAACAACATTTATACTCCTTCCTACCCTTTAAATAACAATGCATGGCGATTTTTCAAATTCACAATTTGTAGCGAACACACCAGTGTCCCTTGGAACTCTGCCTCCAAAACTGCCAAAATTTTCTTGCACAGTATCATTGTGAAAGATTAAATCACACGAGTAAATTAATTACGCGAAAATGCTCGAACTCCGAGGTTTACGAAGGCAACTATCACAGTTACGATTTCACGGCTACCCTCGAAAACTTGATGCAATAATTCAAATCATAGTCGATAATGCATCAAGAGGTCGTTTTCTATAACACAACTCCATTCAATAAATATACAAGCTATCAAAAAAGACAACGATTGATATAGGCTGAACTGAAAAAAAAAGAATCAAAAGGGAGACCACCAACCTGTGATACTAGCGGCACCAACGTGTGTTCGATCGATTTCGTTTTAATCTCCAGATTTCTCGCATCTAATCCGAAACACGTTCCACCAGCACTACCAGCGACGTGATCCCCGGTAGGGACACGAGCTGCGGACATGCCTTAATTTTCTTTCTGACGGTCTAATTTGTAGCTAAGGAAAACGTATCATTTGCGGAGCAAACGGAAACACCATTGTCAGTAGTGCGCAAGTCATAACAAAAAATTTGAGCTTGTACAGTTCGATCTCGGCCTGCAGAAGCATAGCAGTAGCATAGTAAGAGATCCACAAAAACATCTGTTACATCTTTAGAAAAACGCAATCATCAATTATGGATAGAAACAAAGCGAATGGACAAATGCAAAGGCTTCAGAATGGTGTGACATGATTTGCAACTGATTACAACGATTACAGAGTTGAACCAAAAAATTTTCCAAACGAAAAACTCTACCCTTTCCTCGCACGAGTTAATGTCATCTCTAACATTACAAACCTTGGCATATCCCGAATACGAAAAATGTTTGTTTAAACTCGTAAAGTAGTAAAAAGATATTTATAGGAAAGAATCACTGGTACAAATTTTTCTAGACGAATAGATTGAAAGTTGTTTTCTAGCTGAGTACAATATAAAACAAATGTCTGCAGTAATTTTTCTGTAGAATTCAACACAAAGAGCATTAGATGGCAACAAAAACATAAAAGTTGATCAAAGTGATGTAATAAGAAAAGAACAATAATAATTATAACAATCATTACAATAAATAATCATTAAGAAAGCGAATAAAGGTCACTATGGAGAAGCAGCTGGAAAGTGTAACTTTGGCGGTGAAAAACTTTCACTTAGATATCGCACTCACGCTTTCATTTTTCTTACAACGGGGCCACTGATTACCGCATTCGATCAATCTGAGGGGCAGAATAGGATGAGAGGCAGGTGCAAGGTTCCTCTTGAAGACACTCTTTTACACCACGAATTGCGGGTACTACTTATTGACTGCTTTGGCTGTTGGAGCGACCTATTGGCCGCATTCATACTAGGTGCAGCATGCTGCACCAGTCGAACGAAATCTATCGATCGACAGCTCCCACTGATGACTCATCCTACGGGATGACTGTTTGATATAATTATGCTCCTATTTCTCTTCGCTCGTAGCAGATTTTGTTGTGATTTTCATTTTGTATCACGTCCCGTGCTTACTGCCGATCTTCCGTGCGCGAGATGTTCGCAGGGACTCATTGTTTTCCTTTTACTTTTTTATCCCTCTTATCTCAGCTTTTTAGTGTGGAAATTTTTCTATTTTATTTTTTCTATACTATTTTTTACTTCTATTTTTCCTGCTTTATATTTTAGCTAGTACT